TTCAATATATATGACAGTATGTCATGAGCCAAAGTGCACAGTGCTGCTCCCAGTCACTGGCCAAACCTCAAGTACTGTTTTAGTGAAATATTCAGGTATCAGAACTGAAGGCAGGCACAGGAGGTGTAGATCTGACAGTGTCAATTACTGTCTAGCAAGGAAGATCCATGGAAACCATGGCAGAATGGTTTGCACAGCATTTAGCTATGATGTTGACACTTTGCTTTCCATCAACATTCACAAAACTGCTTTTGGGATGTCAGCGCCAAGAACTTACTGTTTCTAGACAGTTAGGAAACTTTGCTTCTGTTTACTTCACATGTACCACAACTTACACAGCAAGACTTTTTTTATGGATACAATTGTGCTGGCAAATGAATTTGTCCAGCAGCAGGATGTCGTACAAAATCAGGAAACAGAAATGATCATGTATTATGAATCTAGGTATTACAATAGGAGCAGGCTCCTTCCAGAAAGTGGTACAAAGAATTAAAGGGAGAGTGAAAAATTAGAAGGAAGAATGAGAAGATAATTTTTTAAGAAAAAGAAAAATATAGTAACATTGAAGTATGAGTGGAAAGAGAGATAAAAATAATGCACATCAGTTAAAGTTGCATGTATCTCTCTTTTTAATTCTGTGAAACACACTACACTATTTGTGTCTTGTAATTTTATTTTCAGGTTCACACCTGCATGAAGAAAAAAGATCTCATTTGCTGAACTAAATTAGAGGCACAAACTCCGGAAAGCTAATACAATGCTGAAATTTCTTTGGGACATCACATGACATCAAAAATCCCCTGGAATTTATGCAACAGTGCCACATAAGAGCAAAATTACCAGCACCAGCAGACAGGTAGCTATTAAGGTTCTTAATAAGGTTCATCACAAGTTCCCAGAGAGCACTTTGCCAACAGAAACTTCCTAGGAAAATAATCACAAAAAAAAAATACCTTGTTTTCAAAGGAACAAGCTTTTCTAAACAGCACGTTACAGTCCTGTTCACCTTGGTGCAATAACCATGCAACCAGGCGAGTTTTTCAGAGCTACTTTTTCCATTGCTAAATCATACAAATGTTACAAAGATAAGGACCGTACACAAGCCGAAAACTGGATGCCACAGTAAACAGATTTTTATTCAGTGCTGAAACGTGAGCCAAGATACAAGCTAAAGTTCAGCCCTCCAACTTCGTCTTGACTACTTCCTACTATTATATGTGAGACTCTTTCACACAGCCTCTGAAGTAAGTGTCTGAGCTCCTGTGGGGATTGTTCAAGGAACTGAAGTAATGCTATAAACTCTCCTAAACCCTGTCAAACAAAAGATAAGGCAGAGACCTTTTCTTTTCTCAGAGTGACATTATTCAGGGACAGGAAGCAAAAAACTTAGACATTTTTAGAAGAGAAAAAGATGGTCAATGTACAGTGGTTAGCATTATAGAGCAAAGCTTATCTACAATGATGCTGGGAAGTTTTTATTTCTACAGAATGAAATATGTAATAAGGCATAGTTGTATAAAATTTCAATTAGTAGAAACCTCAGAAATTATTTGTGCGCACTATGAAAGTTGTGCAAAATGAAAGAAACCAACAGCAACTCACTGAAAAAAATCACTTATATGTTAATTATATTCATTGTACTCTAATAATCCATCTTTGTAAAACTTCTGCAGCTTCAGATGGTCTTTTAATTAATAACTCAGCCAAAATAATTTTCCAGCCTTGCACAATTAAATACATGAAATGATGCTTCTGGAAAGCTGACAGTCTTAAAACAAAGGTGTTCAGTATTAATTTCTCATATGAGCAAATTTTTTCTGGCAACACGGCTTGCTCCGCAAAGCCTGTTACTCCTACCTAGGTTTAATATGTTCTTTGGATGTTTTGTGAATTTGTTTTTTGGTGTGAGCATTAGCCTTCTGGATGAGAAAGCATGTCATCCAATTTAATACTCACTGCAAGTCTGAATACCAAGGCGTTGGCCCTATGTTTTATTTCATTAAAGCAATGTATCATTTCTGCTGTGATAACAGAAGCAATCTGCACTTCTAGAGATCAAAGCAAATTACAAACAAGCCTGCCAAGCCGAACATACGTAATTCTATATGTAAAGCTGCATACAATCAACATCCTGACTTAGGCTTGCAACTAGACAAAGATCATCTTTGTGTATTTATATGGCCTGTGCTTAGTATGGTGGTGTACAGACCCTTGAGTCCTTACTTTAACACTACAACACTATAGCAAATAAATTTTGCTTACATAGTTGCGTTCTGGTATACAAGAGGTCTGCAAATAAGCCATTCCCTCTTAAACCGCATGAAGAAGTCCCTGTTAAGAATTTCAGAGTAACTGCAGATTCATCTAGCTTTAAACACCAGGAAAAGTTTGAAGAATTCAGTCTGTTGACACTAGACCAGTTATACATCATACTTCACCGCAGCGTTATGAGAAGTCACTCAAACACGAAATATAAAGAACATTTTTACACCTGATAACACTCCCAGATGAACATCTCAGCATGTCTCCAATACCAGCTTCAAGTTTACTGTTACTTTCCTTCAATGAAGCATACTTCTTTCATTTGTCCTTACAATAACAAACGAGAAAAATAGAGTATCATCTGGAGAATTTGATTCAAGTAGACATTTTGTAGAGCTACATAATATATGACTGTTTGTGTCTCTGAGGGTTAAAGATGAAACAAAAGGCACTTTAAGTACTTCAGTTATTCATAAGTTTTAGCTCCAACTCTGTAAAAAAGAAAACCTACCTATTGTCTCTACTAGTGACCTAAATACTTACTCTACCAGCTATTGGGAAGACATTAATTAATGAATTCTGTTAGAATGATTAAGTTACACTTTTTGAGCAGAAGCAGTATCTAAGAGTTCAAAAGCATGTCTCTCACACAAGACGGAAAAGTAACTGAAGCCTTCACAGTATTTCTATGGGTACTGGAGGAAATCACACTCACTGAGGTGAAATAGCTGGAAAGAAGTAACTATGCTATGTCAAGCCAACCAAAGCTAAGATAATAAAGAAAAATTAGCAATAAATAAAAGAATGTGCCTTATATGTGGTCAACTGACTAGGAGGTATAACTGTTTCTGGACTATAGTACCAATATTTTAAATTTTTTTTTTTTTTTTTAGACACACAGACATGGTACAGGTAAGAGAAAAGAAAAGGATACAACTCAAACATACACCTGCTGTCTGTACTTCAAAATAATAAACAATAAATACGTGTAACAGACTAGAACACTTGATCATTTAAATTCACATATAATCCTTAAAACAGCTACTTACTCATCACTTGAAGTAAAAATGGCAACAGAAGTCAACAGGTATGGAAGTAGACACCCTTGAAAGCAAGGGGATATTTGGATGGCTTGCTTTGTTTGGAGCAATTTATTCACAGAACAGTAGATAAACACACCCATTGGTAATGTTCAAGAAGCCAGAAGCGCCACTGAACTTTTTAAATAGCCTAATTATTTATTAGGAAAAATATTTAGAAAAGTAATTACTAAAGGTAAGTAGAGGACACAGGTACAGAGGTAAAAGAAGTCACTTTCCAACATCAAAAAAAAAATCTGCTGTGCCATTAGTAGCCTGAAAACTGCTTTTTTGGTAATGCTTTTAAGATAACACATCTTGCAAGAGAGATTTATCTCAAGGAAAAACACACAGACATAATGACTTTTTCTATGTCCTTCCTACTACAACCACCTTACCTTTGGGATTTTACATATGAATGAGAAAAAAACAATGTAATTCAATATCATCCTCTTAAAACAGTCATAACAAAAATTGAGTTTTTCCTGAAAGTGAGCCAAGGAAAAGAAAACTGCACTACTTATCTTTTGCACCTCTTTACATCAAATATTCCCTTCAAATAGGGCTGCGTAGGAATAAAACTAGGTGGGTTTTAGAGGCAAAAGAAAGGCACACAACGAAACTTTAGAAAAAGGGTGACGGGGATCACAAATTAAATCCTAAAACTAGGCAGTATTCATGCAGAAATATGCCCATCAATCTACAGGCTGAAGGACACAGCCTCAAGGGCTATGTAACTACATTATAGAACCAATTTAAAAATGAATGTAACCTGGTTTCTAATACACTGAAACTTCTTAATGCAGTTAATATAAAGGAACATTAACCTCAGCTATCAACAAGTAATACGTGCTGAATCTTGCACAACTAAACTACAATATGAGTAGTGCCAGAACAGAGAAGAACCACGTATATAAGTATATAATTAGTCTAAATTGAGGATGGCCACCTTCCATATGCTCAGGGGCCTTTTTATTCCCAGCCACATCTCAAGATAAAATCAATATAGCCATATTCCTATGTGGCTAATCCTATTGGATCCAACACCCATTCATACCCCCAACTTCTCCAACGGCAGGCACAGGACTGTGCCAGCCCTTAAGGTGGCCTCCTGAGCACCCAGCACCCCTGAGAGCCCACAGGCTGTCAGCACAACCTCTGTGGTCTTCCTCCCTCATAACAGATTATGGCCAACTTTTACTCTGCCCTTAAAGTCAACATGAAATAGTTCCCTAGAGTGTCCCCCAGTGAATGTTATCTGCAGACTGTGGTATTTTGGGGAAAGAGAAAAATGAGACAAAATACACAAGTACATTTTCCTTTCTTTCCAAAAAGCTATCTTTTTGTGGTGACAACTTCTAACACGTACATTCCAGTCTTTCTAAAGCTAGCACCACAGCTGGAAGATGATCTATAACCAAGAAGATATTCTTCCTCTAAAAATATACCCTGCCTCTTGAATATTGCCCTCTTTCAAAAAAAAAAGTAAAAAAATATATATATTTTTCAGATTTCAGAGGGACTGCCTGCGTTTAGTAAGTTAGAAGAGTTCAAATTACAAAAATAATTGCTATCTAAATCACACAGTCATAAAATCAAGATGCAAAAAGCAGCGCTGAAAGTTTTTGTTTTATTTTTTTCTCCATTTGATATACTCACCAAACCTGCAATGGGGGTCGGTAGTCTATTGATCTTTTTTACCAATCCCGGCCTTATTGCATTCAGCAACCTGTTACAAGAAAGGAGTATTTATGAGCGGTAAGTCACAAAATCCAAATTATCAAACACTTGTCCCCAGCACATAAGGATTTCAGCATGGCTGGAAAGGAAGATGTTCCCCTTTCTCCCCTCCCGAAAACATATGTGTGTACCCAGCGAACCATCACTGAAATTAAAAAAAACACAAAAAAACCCCAAACAAACAAACAAAATAAAAAAACCCCAAAAACCCAGGAGGAAAAAATATCTACAGCACAGTACCAGAACAATATTTCTTTTGTACCCTAAATGTGTCTAGATCACAGCTTTTACAAACTGTGAGTGAATTTTGTCACATCAGTCTGCCTCCATTGCCTAGAGGCAGGTCATGCCTAGAAAGGCCGGAGAACAAAAACCCAGAAGGCATCTGGCTCTCACCACAGCTTGGGAAGAACAGTCCGGCAGCTTCGGCACTGCAGGAAAGTGAGAAAGGACATACACTTTATGGGTGGTGCCTCTATTTTTCTGCATCTGTACTTCAAATTAAATACCGTCCTTGCATATATTGTGGAGAACAGAGGTCCCCATAAAATGTAAATGTGAGAAGACAAATAAAAAGGCAGTCCAAGGAAGCCTACCACATCTCAGAAACATCATTAGGCCAGTGATACCACAGTTGGACACTGTTCAGTGTCCAAAGATGAACAACCCCTCCAAAGTTCCCCACCACCCATGAACACGCTATGAGAAGTGCTGACATAGCTCATTGTTAGAATATTCAAAAAAATGATCAAGCCTCTAAAAGTGGGGAATTTTAATTATAAAATGCTGTTGCAACAAACACTATTTCTTTACCACCCTTCCCCCAAGAGAAAACCCTTATGCCTTTCATCCAAAGCAATAAAATTCAACCAGTCCCATCCATTGGGAAGAAAATCATCAGGTCAAGGCACTCACTTCAAATTCAAGATCTTTTTAGAGATTTTTGCTTATCTTAAAATTAGAATACCCACTATAGAAGACATCTCACTTTGTGCTGACACTTTCTCCATTCAAGAATTAACTCTTCTAACAGCCTACTGTGGTGGTAAAAATATTAATATTTAAGACTTGGGAGGTCTGGCTAAGAAGTTTATCCTAAATAAAGGAACATTCCTTTCAACTAAAAGCTAACAGTCTGCGATTGTTTCCAACTCCCCACTTCTGAGCTAAGATAATACTGGGTGTGCTACGCCTATAGGCTCCTCCAGGAGCCATCTCTGCACATTGTCATGTTATTTAATGTTTGATTAGGACTGCAGCAGTTAACAAGCTCATCAAGGAGTCCATCCCTCCCAGGGGTGGATACCTGACTTTGTTAACATTGAAATGATTGTTTTTCCTCACTGCTTTCTTCCCCTCTCCCCCCCCCATATAGGTTGGGTCTCTGCAATCACTTGGAGAGAACAGGGGAGCAGAGCAGGAAATAGCTATTCTAAATGTTCTCTGTGATCATAGTTAATAAAGCTTCTGTTCAACCTGTCTTAAATTGTAATTGTGTCATTACACACTTTAAATCCCCATATCTCCACCACCACCATAATCAGGAGTGGCAACAAACCCAACGTGAATGACATTTTTGGGAGTTGAGGGTATTTTCTTGTTCTTCTTCCAGTTAAAAACTCTGTACAGATTGTTGGGCTATTCCTGACTTCTGCTTAAGGTAGTATGAAACTATTATGTCCTAAAAACAAATGATGAAAGAATATACTTTTACAAAGAATTCACTCCTCCCACCACTCCCCCCCATGCATGGAATGGCAAGAAAAAACCACACATATGACTTATAATTGTTTTATTTCACAGATGACAAACATGCATTACTTTTTCCCCAAAAAGACATAAGCCTTTCAAACTTGCACAACAGTGACCCTGTAAACTACTATTTTCCATTTAGCTGCTGCAACAGGCAACTTAAGATTTTATTGTTGTTGTCGTTAAATCGGAGCACTTCTTTCCAGAAAATGTAGCTCTATTGTGATTTCCATCTTCAGTCTGCCTATTCTGTCACAGGAAAAAATATTAACTAAAGCATTCCATTTTCTTTATTACTCAAAAACACAAATACTTTAGGCACCATATCCAATATTGCAGGTGCAGATCAAAAGCCACAGACAGTAATAGAAAATAAAATAAAGAGGTCTTAATGGAAACCTCAGATGCCAAAGCCCATCTAAATAAATCTTCAAAATGGCTTGTACGGGCTTGCCTGTGAAATATGGGAGAAGAATAAAACGAGAGGAAGAAAAAGAGCAGGGAATAAACAACATTTTAGGTCACCGTTTGGAGTCTGAAGAGGGAGGAAATGGGATGGGGCAGGATGGAAAAGCCTGAGGAAAAAAGGTCTCTATTATTAAAATGTTTACCTCCTGTTGGAAATATCTCTAAACAGCCTGGCACCAAAACCCCCAGGACTTGCTCACTGCAGAACGTGCCAAAGGGAGATTTCTTCCAGAGCACACCGGCTGCTTCTAAATTATTGCCTCATCTAGAGCAATAGTCCAGATGCCAAAATATCCAGTGGCTTAAGCTTGCTTGGCCATCAGCCTGGCTGAAAGGCCGTACTGTTCATGCAGAGTGTCTCAATGGTTGCCTTCACTCACACAGTTACTATCTGTTCCGGCTTCTCGAAAAAGCCACCGAATGCACCTCTTCCTACATGGGCAATGCACACAAACTACATTTTCTGTGCCGGTTTAGACTCATATAGAGCATCTGTCTTGATACGTAAAGTTTTATCAGCTCCAGCAGGTTTCTGCTGAAATACAGGACAAACAAAACCCTAACCTTTCTGCACCAGGGACCTGGCACAAGGCCCTTGGCCATGGCCCAGGGGAAAGCATCTGCAGGGGAGAAAACACTTCCCAACCCACACCTTCCCCCGGCAGCCTCCTACAACTGCGGTCCCACGCTTTCTGGCCCTGCCGACCCTCACCAAAGGACTTGGCTGCCCTGGGCCTCACATCCCCAGCCGTGTCTCAGGTTAAAGAGTTTGCAAGGAAGAAAACTTGCAGCACGCACCTTCCTCTGGCAGCCCTGGCTCTAGCCTTTCTCCCTCCCCCGGTCCCAATCCCATCCCTAATCCTAACCCCTGGCTCATTCTGAGGTATACACACTCAGACATGACCCCAGTACCAAGTTCATGGAGAAAACATTTGCAGCCTAAACCTTCCTCCAGCCCCACTTACACTGGCCCCATTTCCAGCCCCCCTACACTTATAGGTCTGGGCTTTGTCACCCTCCCAGCCCTAAATCTGACCACAATACCATGTGCTGACCTGTCAATAAACTTTTGTTGTTATTTCTCTGCACCACGCAAAAAAAAAAAAAAAAAAAAAGATTTTGTAAGAAACTCCCACCAGTTATCATTCAGAAGCCTTGGCAACCAGCACACGGCCAAGGACTGCCCTGCAGGCATCAGGCAGTCATCAACATGACCTTAACCAGAAGCAGCTTTTTTTCTGCACTTAACGGCACAGCAAGTCTAGATACCTGCACTTTAGGCATCCATGGACAGGGGAACAATTCCAGCACCTCCCGTCCAACCTAACGGAGGTTATCTCTGAAAATTTTGTATGGCATCACATTACTCGCCTCTTCCCCGCCAAAACAGACAAAACAACTTCACATTCTTCTGGAATCACAGATTTGGTAACTTAAAAAAGCATTAGAAATCCCGCTGAATGGATCGTTCTAGGACATTAAATTAAATCTTTAAAAATATATTTGTATTGCAGCAATCCCCGAGAAAGGGATGAAAAACACAGTGCCAGGACAAGTGTTACAGGAGCAACATGGAACCCACCAGCTTCTACACCAGCTGAAACACATACACATAGTTCAGTGCTTTATTTTCACAACATTTACTCCCATTACAAAAGTTAACCATATCACCTTCATAGCAGGTCACAGAGGGCAGGCAATCAACCATAAGCCTTGCTACAACAAACATTTAAGGCCTTACCCCCAGATCACATTAGACAAGTTACTTCCATCACGCATTCTTGCGGCAGGAAGACACTTGAAGGCACTTGCTCAAAAAACACACCTAGTTGATGGCACATTAAGATCCTCTGCCTCAGACATCTGATCTATCTGGCCAGTTTAGCAAAACTGATCAGTTTAAGGAAGGCACTAAGGTCCCTACCGGAAGGTTCAGACAAATGGTTGAAGCCTAACAGGTCCTGAGTCGTATCGAGACTTTGAATGATCCCTTGCTTCTGAGTACCTCCCAATTCCTACTGACCCCATCTGATACTAAACTCTTTCCTCCAAGGAAGTAGCCCCTTTTCTCATGCAGTAAAAATCATCAGGGCTCAAGTATATTCATCCTCGCAAGGGCATCAAGGGCAGACACACTGCTCACTCCTAATGTAAACGTCAGATCCTAGTCTTGCCCCAAACTACCATCAGCTGCAAGCCCAGCTTTTCCCAAGCACAAATTTAGTTCATGTTTTGGTACAGCTGTGTTCTTTACAGAAAATCCTCAAGTGGGTGTGCATCTGTTATAGAACAAAGCAAAACTTTTATATCAGCCTGTACCACATTCTGCTAGGCCAAGGCTGGTGAGCTGCTGTATAAATGGTCAGAGAGTAGAAGTGTCGAGGATGAAATACAAGTGTTGGTTTTGTTGGGGTTTTGTTTTTTTGGTTTTTTTTGTTTTTTGTGTTTTTTTTTTTTTTTTGTTGGTTTGTTTGGAGTTTTTGTGGGTTTTCTTGGTTATAATTAGTTTCAATTTTTCATACTCCTGCATCTAGGAAAACAGATGTCAATGGGACAAGTCCAACTAAGCAGTCCCGAGAGGTAACAAAGCAGAGCGATTTTAAGTCTTGCATTATTTTCTCCTTTTTCATACACCTCCAGTAAGATACTGTTAACTTAAGGTCTGACACAACATGGCAAGGGAACAGTGGTCGAAACAAACCATAAAACAATGTCCTTCAGTACTGTTTTCAAAAGCACAATGTAGATACATTCCCCAAGCTT